AGGGGAATTAGCTCAAATGGTAGAGCGCTCGCTTAGCATGTGAGAGGTAGTGGGATCAATGCCCACATTCTCCAAAGACAGTCTTTATATAGCTTATTGTCATAGTGATGAGAAATGTAATATTGTGTCTACTCTGTAAGTCGCTTTGGAGAAAAGCGTCTGACAAACGCATAAACAGATATAAACAGAACAGATATAAATAATATTTAATAATTATAATAACTAATAAACTACAAAAACAACAAAAATAAAAACTAATTTATATTCAGTTAAACAACATTAACTCAGGAGCACATTATATAAAACTCTTAGATTTCGGGTGACTTTCTTTTGTCTCTCTCCGCTTTTCTTTTCATCCCCGTTAAAAACTTTTTCATGTTGGGGGTGTTATATTGAATAACGGAGGCTATAGACAGAACGTTGCTAACCGAGGCTAACCTGTCGTCTTTAAGTCATAATATGTTGAACTAAAGTAACGATGAGAGCGCCACTGCCCCTACTGGAGTGGATGCGCAATTACACTTTATGCTAGTACGGCCCAAAAGAAAAAAGGCTGTTCCCCAGGGTCACACGCCCCCCCCCAGGTATCGCCCCACTATTTGAGAAGCACTGAGCTAAGGCCTCTGGTTTCACGCATATAAACCAGATATAAATCAGATATAAATCAGATATAAATCAGATATAAATCAAGGTTTACCAGGCCAAGGACCCCTTAAAATATAAATCAAGGTTTTCCAGGCCAAGGACCCCAAATTGATGGCTGGTCCCCATCATCTCACTAATTGTGAGAATACCTACTGGCATTCTCACTATTGCTTTCCTGTTTCTCTTTATTATTCTTTATTCCGTACGTTTTTCTGTGTCTAACTACACCCAAACCTTTAAGCCCTTTTCAACAAATAAGGCATCAAAATGTGCAGCTATCTCAGGACTATACAGTTATGACTTTTGGTGTTCAAATCTTTTCAAGTTTTTAAGTTATTTAAGTTTTTCTGCTTTTATTTTCTCTCTTTGTGAGAATGCCTACTGGCATTCTCCCTATTGTTTTCCTCTTTCACTACTTTTGCATCTAACTACACCCAAGCCTTTTAGACTATTTCAACAAATAAGATATCAAAATGTTGAACTATCTCAGGACTATACAGCTATCACTTTTGGTGTTCAAATCTTTTAAACTTTTTAAGATATCTAACTTTTTCTGCTTTTATTTTTTCTCATTGAAAATAATTTAGTCAAAAGCTCAGTGGTAGAGCCTTTGACTACTGATCCAGAGGTTGCTGGTTCAAGTTCCACTCAAATCTACTTTTACCTTTTATCTTTCAAATGATTCCTCCAATCAGCCTTTTTTATTCAACTCTTCTGCTTCCTCCATTAAAAAAAATAAGGTATCAAAATGTTCAGCTATCTCAGGACTATGCGGCTATGACTTTTGGTATTCAAATCTTTTAAACTTTTTAAGATATTTAACCTTTTATGCCTTATTCCTCCCATTGAACTGAATGGAGGAAAAACTATGGCTCCCTCTGCTGGTCACTGGTGTTTCAGCACCTTCAAGATTTTCCTATGAATTCAGCCTGTGGTATAGCTCAGTGCTCCTGTTCACATTTAAAACATAAAAAACAATCAGAAAATGGCTTTAAAATAGAAATGAATTAAATATGTTCGATTAATATGTCAATTTAGACACGTGAGGGTATGTGAATTCTTGCACATTCATGCTCAGATGCACTGGTTTATGTGTACATTTATTTTCTGTTTTTTCTATTTTTGTTGTTTATTTTTTCACCAATATGGGCACATTGTGGTCAGCACTTTAATAATTGTCTGCCATCATATTCATACCCTGACAGTCTTTGTACTGATGATACCCATGTTCTGTGCAAAAAACTTGAAAAAATAAAGTTAAAAAATAAATAAATAAATAAAAAATAAAAAAAATAGAAATGAATTGAAAACATATGCTCTGCCTCTAAACTGAACCCCTGATGGTGGGAATTGTTGGGTTTCTGTAATTAACTTCAGAGTAGGTCTGACCTGCTCTGTTTGGAAAGATAACTGTTGTTGTGATGTGGGGCTATAGAAATAACATTTAATTGAATTGAATTGTGAGGGGCGGGGCCTGTGCCATGGTTGTGCTCCAGGTTTCTGCCTGTTAAAGGAAGTTTTTCCTTGCCTGTGTCGCCTAGTGCTGCTCATGGTGGGAATTGTTGGGTTTCTGTAGTTAACTTCAG